GTTTAACATATTTTTAATTAAATAAAATAAATATTTATCTCGTAGGTTGTACATATCAAAATACTAATAATAAAGGAATTATCATTTACAATTATTTTCTTTTTATATATATTACATCTATTTTGTTTCCCATAGGCACATAAATAATCATGGTATATGGCTTAAAATTTGACCACGACGAGGTGAAATATCTATTATTTTTTGATACAGTGAGGTTGGAAAGAAGAAAGAGAAAACAGTAATAAGATTAAAAAAATTATCCCCGCTACAGGGCATCTCTATCACCTGGCCTGTGTGCAGGTCTTTGCCATATCTGCCAAATCTTGCTTGCGATCATCCAGCTAGCCTTCTAGAAAATCTGCCAGAGTTTGCTTCACCCGGTATATGGGTCATCATAAAGATTCCATAATAATATCACCATTTGTATATTCATTTTACTCTTATTTATTTCTTGTTCATTTAACCATGTCTATCACTTTTCTTTTGTTTATCTTTCTCTCTAATTTCTTCTAAAGTATATACATTATGTGGATAGAATAATTTCCTGAATAATAAGATTAAGAGAAAAGTGATGGTCTGATATAGATATAAAACTATTATTTTTTGGACATCGCTAACAACGCAAACATTTTGTTTTTATTTATTTGTTTATTAGAAATAATACAAAAAACACCTTATAATTATATCTCTGTCTATTTTTTTATTTATCACAAAGTATCTCACTTGTAACAACTATTATATATATATATAACCTTTCAAGGTTTGAGATAGTGATATATATATATATATATATATATATATATCTATATATATATTATCTTTTCTATTTTTTTCCTCATTCCACGTGTACACTAGCATGGATATTAATTTGGAGTATTCATGAAACATTTTATTTAATATAAGAAATGATATGTCGTGTTAAAAAAATATAACTTGAAAAATAATATATTTTCTTATATTAAACTTTTACAAGAATATGTCATGCGAAATATTTGCATCTGTTTTTTTTTTTTTTAATGAACATAAATTTTAATTTAATCAGCAAAATTATTTCCCAGCAGATCCCGTGGAGGATGCATGGGATTGAGGAGGCATGTGATTGAAATCTTTAAAAAAATATTGCTTAAAAAAATGTTGATAAGAGAACGTAAGGCTAGGTTCACTCATTTCTGTGCCTATGCCTATAAAATGTTGAAAATAAAGAGTATATACTAAACACACAAATGGCGGTTGTGGGAGGAGCAGGTTCCATGGGTGTTCATGGATGGGGAGACATGAAGAGTCTCACCGTCCAAGTCATCACCGGCCGTTGGTTTGTTGTGTTTGCATCCTTTCTAATCATGGCTGCTGCCGGAGCCACGTACATGTTTGGTCTCTATTCCAGTGACATCAAAACCACCCTTGGTTACGACCAAACCACTCTCAACCTCCTCAGTTTCTTCAAGGACTTGGGTACCAACGTTGGCGTCCTCTCAGGCCTAATCAACGAGCTCACCCCACCTTGGGTCGTCCTAGCCATCGGTGCCATCCTAAACTTCTTTGGCTACTTCATGATATGGCTATCAGTGACCAAAAGAATAGCCAAACCCCAAGTGTGGCAAATGTGTCTCTACATCTGCATAGGTGCCAACTCTCAGTCCTTCGCCAACACGGGTTCCCTTGTCACTTGTGTCAAGAACTTCCCAGAAAGTCGCGGGGTTGTGTTAGGCATCCTCAAAGGCTATGTGGGTCTTAGTGGTGCAATCATCACACAACTATACTCTGCCATTTACTATGATGACACCAAGGCTTTGATTTTGCTCATAGGATGGCTCCCAGCTGCTATTTCCTTTGCTTTCCTTCGAACCATTCGGTACATGAAGCCGGTTAGGCAACCTAATGAGCTCAAGGTTTTCTACAATTTTCTCTATATTTCTCTTGGCCTTGCTGGGTTTCTTTTGGTCATGATCATTATACAGAAAAGGGTCAACTTCACTCAGAGTGAGTTTGGTGTGAGCGCTGCTATAGTGCTCTTCTTGCTCTTCCTCCCACTTGCTATTGTTTCTATCGAAGAATATAAGATATGGCAAAGTAAAAGGCTTGCTTTGGTTGACCCCTCGCCCGTGAAAATAGTAACCGAGGCTGAAAAGGTCAAGTCGAATAAGAATGGGAAAAACAATTCAGTTTCAACAGTTTCCAACAACACCAAGTGGTACGAAAATGTGTTTAGTCCTCCAGAAAGAGGTGAGGACTATACAATACTTCAAGCGCTATTCAGCATCGACATGTTAATACTATTCATATGTAGCATCTGTGGTATTGGGGGCACGTTGACCGCAATAGATAATCTGGGTCAGATAGGAAAGTCGCTTAGATACCCCAAGAAAAGCATAAGCACTTTCGTCTCTCTAGTGAGCATTTGGAATTATTTAGGACGGGTTTTCTCTGGATTTGTTTCGGAACATTTTCTACAAAAGTACAAGTTCCCTCGTCCTCTTATGCTCACTTTAACCATGCTCTTATCATGTGTCGGTCACCTTCTGATAGCATTTGATGTGCCAAATGGTCTTTATGCGGCTTCCGTAATAATTGGATTTTGTTTTGGCGCTCAGTGGCCTTTACTTTTTGCCATTATATCTGAGCTTTTTGGACTTAAATATTATGCAACTTTGTACAATTTTGGAAGCGCAGCAAGTCCACTAGGGCTATACGTGCTTAATGTAAAGATGACCGGACATTTGTATGATAAAGAAGCGAAGAAGCAACTTGCAGCATTGGGGCTTGAAAGAAGGGAAGGACAGGAATTGAATTGTATTGGGGTCCATTGCTTCAAGTTATCCTTCATTATTATGACTGCTGCAACTTTCTTTGGTGCCATTGTTTCGATCATTTTGGTGGCTAGGACAAGAAGGTTTTACAAAAGTGACATATACAAGAGATTCCGGGAAGCCACGACGGTGGCAGAAGCTGAAATGACAGGGGAGGAGAATGAAAACAAAGCAGAGAAAGATGACAAAAATGTGGTGCCAACTCAAAAGTAAGATTGATGGTAAAGTATGATGTTGTTGCAGACTTGCAGTGCAAAAATTAATTAATAATGTAGTCATACATGATACATGTTTGACAATGGAATATGAAATAGGTAGGTATTAGTATTACAGTGTGCTGACTTTCCTTGCCATGATGTATACTTTCTCATTTTCTTGGTCATACAAAACGACGTGCGGTACTCTGAAAGATAGAGAGTTTCAATATATTTTTTATGTAAATTTATAAAAATTAAAAAAAAATTAATTTACTTATAAAATAAATAATCTAAATTATATTTATAAAATAAAAAATAAGATAAAATTATAGAGATTAAAATTATAAGATTTCAATAATATTATAAAATATTTTAAAAAAAAAAAAAAATTAAGAAATAGTATAAATAAAAAATTATTAAAATTATAAATATAGAAATTCAAAAATTTAGGACAAAAAGACAAAAAATATACTTAAAAAATTATTAAAATTAAAATATAGAAATTCAAAAATTTTAAGTGAAAAGATTAAAATATGCTTAAAAAATTATTAAAATTAAACTATTTAAATATATAATAAAATTATTATAAATAAATTAGAATATATAAAATAAAAATAAAATGACTAAATAATTTAAAAATTAAAAGAATAAAATATCATAAATATTTAAATAAATTATTAAAAATATAAAATATAAAAAAATTGTACCGGAACCCTCTCAAATAAGATGGGTACTATAGAATTTCTCATCTTCGTTACCTCGCACCGCCAAAAAAATTGTTTATGACAAATTCTCTCATTTAAATATTATTGCATGCAAGTGGTTGTTTATTGTATATATAACAAATGGTTGTATAACAACACTAGATAACAGTTAATATTAATTTTCCAATGACTTAAATAAGATTTAATCTTAACCGTTTAAATATATCCGATTGATTGATTCATGATATTGTTGGATAGAAGATAGAAAAAAAATTTACAAGAGAGGATCCAAATTAAAAAAATTGAAATCGCTAAAAAGAAGAAAAAAAAAGTCCTTTTTAATGTGGATGAATTTATTTATTTTCATTATGCATACGATTGCCGTGTTATTGTAATAGTTGACGTAGTCTAATGCAAGTTCGATAATTTAATAATCACATGCAAGTGGTTGGTTAATGCCTAACAACATTAATGTTTATCTTCGGTCAAGGCTGCATGATGCTATATATACGTTTCTTGATTATAACATCATGGATTAATTAATTCATTTAAAGCTTCTATTATTAAAGAGCTTCACCAACTTAATATGGGAATGAATTCAGGTAACAGCATAAAATTTTGTTTTCATTTAAAATAGGAAAAACACTACACTAAGGTGAGCGTTAAAGTTATAATCATTGTTGAAAATACAATGGCCCGGTGTTGTGATAAAAATTTACGCACATTTGTTAAAAATTATGAAATTGTTAATTTTTACTCAATTTTCTTCTAAGAATTATAGATTAGAGTAAATTACACAAATAGTTTCTAACTTTCATGGATTGCATGTAACTCCCTACATGTTTAACGTGTACAGTTGAGGGAGGTAACGTAATGTCTTAAAGGGTGTCAATGTCGTGTTTTTCAAACAATTAAAAGAGTTTGCGTAGGAATAGAAAAAACAGGGAGTTAATCTGCAATGTCACAAAACTTCAAAAGATGTCGGTGTAAACTATAATTATAATGCCACAATCTATAAATTATAATACCACAACTTTCACTCTAAAGCAAAATCATTTAAAAGCATCAACTACTTGCTTCCTATTTTTAAAAAGTGGGAATTCCTGTTTGCATCGTTCAAATGGTTTCCCAAACATACGCTACACGTAGTATACCCGTGTACATCATGTGTCAAATGGTTTCACAAACATACACTAAAAGGATCATTGCAGGTGTCCCGTCGAATCATTGAATTGAATGCACAATAACGGTTTCCCAAACATACAGTACACGGGTCATCGCAGCTGTGGCCATTGACCAAATCCCGCCAGATCATTGAATTGAATGCACAAACGTGTATTACATAAGTAGGTCAATGAAAATCGAGAGCAAAAGCAATAACAAAAACAATGGATCTAAGCCTATGAGACTCACCATTGGCAAGTTTATTAGAAAGGGGTAGACAAAATTTTCCTCCAACCCATCATAACATGCAAGATGCCACCAAAATCAAAGGAACACACACACACAAATGGAAAACAAATTCCTGATTACAACAAGCAATTTCAAGACCCAATGTCACAATTCACAAACCAAACGAAAACACAATTACACATCAACATGGGGCAACATCATACATTATTAGATCAATCAGTAAGAAAAACTAAAAAAGATCACCGCATACCTCAGCTTCTGCAACCATCTGATTGACATAACTCTTGAGTTTGTTCACCCTAAGAGCCTCAGTGAAGAATCTGAACTGCTCCTGCCTCACGGAGTAATCAACATCAAACACCACCCCAGGTCCAAAAGTTGGCACATTGAACTGGTACACCTCTTGCTGGCTGAGATCACTCTCTGGGGCCTTGAAAAAGTGTGCAGAAACCTCAGGGCCAATCAAAAAGGTGATGTTTTTGTGAAACAGTTTGAGGGTGAACACACTCCCAAGCTTAGGGTACTCCTCACGGAGCATAAAAATTGGTCCTTTGAGGAAACGGTAAAGCCCTCCAATGAGGGGCCACCCCTTCACAACCGGCGGTACCCTCTTTCTTGATTTGGGCACTATGAAGGCTGATATGAGTTTTGCCACAAGGATTGTAGCCGCAAGGAGGAGACATGTGCTCAGAAACCTGCCATCAACTTCCATGTTTGTGTTGTGCGAATGTGATGATGATGTGAAAGTGAAAGTGAAGTGATGTATTTTTCTTCCTTTTATTTGAATGATATTATTATTGTTGATAAACCCAATGAATGTGGAACCACAGATCTAGTATCATGGGGCAGATCTGTGTCTGTTTGTAATGCTTTGAAGTTGTTTGTGGCCACTAAGAAATGGAATACGAAATTGCAATTTTATAGGGTGGATTTGCTTAGCTGGGCTCACAGTAATCGGAGGAGGCTTTGAAAATTAAAACTGTGGGTTAGGCTTGGATGCAGTTTTGAATGTCTGTTCTATTCACGGGTGGAACGTTGGGCTTAATTTTACATGTCTTCATTTTCTTTTATTTCTTAAGTGCACTCGCAAATTACCTATCATTTTATATATTTAATTAAAAAATAACTTATAAAAAATTATACATAATGTTCTTGTAAAGTGAATAAGAAAAAAGAAAATCGATGTTCTCATAAGTATAATAAAAATGTATTTTTTAATATAAAGGAAATAAAGAGACAAGTATAGTAGTATAGATATCCCTTTGCAAAATAAGATAAGTGACTTTAAGAAAAAGGGCAGATTCTACTGATATACACCAAGATCCACCCATCGTCTTCATGTACAAAGTGCAGATAAAAATGGCTTTGCCAATTTGGCTAAAGGCATTCTTTCTTTGCAAAACCTAAAACTCAAATATTTAAATATCCACGCCCATCCCATTCTCTGTCAGTAGCACCGCTAGTGGGAGCTATCTTCCAATTACTTTCTCTTTTCATATGTTTAACACACTTTTTAATATACTCGTAAAATTTATTAAAACTTATAAAATCTTGTATCACTAATATTTCTCTTCCAATTATTATATTTTTCTATCATTAGCATTTTTAAATTATACTCCTTAATATAATTATTGTATATTGATAAACTAGAAGAAAATAATTACTATAATTTTCTTTGTTGTATTAATAATTCGTTAAATATTCTTTCAAATTCGTAAAATAATAATAATAAAAAATAAAAAACATCGCATGTATGCAACAAAGATAATAAAACAGGTAAAATTTTTAGCCAAATACTTTCTTGTGTTTATTTGTTTAACATGAAAATATATATTCTTTACAATCATTTATGATAAATTATTAATAATTAAACAAAAATATAAATAGAAAATATTAATATTTAAAATTTAAAATTTAAATTATTAATTTAAAAAAAATAAAAAACTAGATCTCTATACCAAATAAATAAATCTTTCATACCTGAATAACATTTTTTTTTGTCAAACACTTCCCTGTATTTATTTGTTAACATAAATATATATTCCTTGTAATTATTTGTGATAAATTATTGACTAAATGTCCTCATATGATATTTAATGCATAATTTTAATTTTTTAATTTTAATATATCAATATTATATAATAAACAATTTTGACCTGTTTATTAATCATTATTAAAATTGTAACATACACACACATGACTTGACATTTGTTAAATTACACGACAATTAATATTTAATAATTTTAAAGATAAAAATAGATTTTTAGTTTCTATTTTTATTCATTTTGCTACTTTTGTGAAATGAAAATGGAGACTGAAAGAGTATACTATTTTAGTTGAAATATTGATTATGACATTATTATCTAAAAAAATAATAATAATAAGAAGTAAAATTAGAAATGAAATGAGTAAGAGGAAAATAATGAAGGGCGTGTATAAGAGAGGAAAAACTACTTGCTTCCTATTTTTAAAAAGTGGGAATTCCTGTTTGCATCGTTCAAATGGTTTCCCAAACATACGCTACACGTAGTATACCCGTGTACATCATGTGTACACCGATCTTTCATATTATTTCTCACTTCTTCTTTTCTTTTACTTATTGGTTCAATTATTTTCTCTATGGAAATAGAAAGTCAAACATATGAGTCAAACTGTCAATATTTAAAAATTGTTGTCAATCACATAATTAAAATAAAATATCTCTGACAAAATACAAATTATCTAGTGGCAAAATACAAACCATGTTGGTGACAGAATAGATGCTGCCAACCACCAAAAAAAAAATTAAGCAGAGAAAAAATATAGAATAAATTATATTGATACCTTCTAAATTTTTTTATGAAATTATACTAACACGGTCTGTTTTTTTAAAGTTTATAATAACTTTTTTTTTTAAAAAATCACAATATAATATTTTTTAAATAATTAAAAGAGCTAAAATAATGTATAACAATATAAAGAGTACTATTGAAATATCTTTCAAACAATTAAAGGAGGTTATTATAGGAATAAAAAAAATAAAAATATTTATATAATTTCACAAAATTTCATGATGCTAATAATTTATTGGGGTAGCCATAATAATGTTGTATATTTGCGGGACCACAACAGTAATTTATTCAAAATTAAATAGTAAATTATAATTTTAGTTCTTAAAAAATAATACGTTAATGCTAATATATATATATATATATATATATATATATATATATATATAATTTATATATATTTTTAATATTTTTTCAGAGATAGGACCTCCTAGCATCAAATGTAAACCAAAAAGGCTTCCACCAAATCTAAACGATAATATGCATTAACCATACATAACTGAAATTGAAATTAAGAACAATAACAAATAGTTGTACGAGTTGAGAAATTTTACACAAAATCTAATCAATTAGGACAACTTATTATAATAGCATTTCACAAACGGTAAATAATGAGGCATAAATAATAATAACCATTTCAAGATTGAGAGCACCTTCAAAGGGGTACTTGTTGTGTATCTTATTTTTAAGTAACAGTGCTTACAATAAATTCTCACTAGAGCATACATGGTAAAACAAGTTCTAAATTTTTTAGCTTTGTTGTTTGGAAAAACAACTATGCTTAGCACTCTAAAATTAAAAATGGAGAGGTTTGATTGATTAATGTTGATTCAAGGTGGAAGTGTACAGAGATTTAGCAAAAAGTGTAGTGCGAGGTGTTACAAAGTATAGTATGAGTGGTAAAAAAAGTATGGGTGCTTATAAGCAATTTTTATTGGAGTAAAAATTGTAAAAATATAGTATGAGTTGCTTATGAGTGACGTGATACAGTGGGATCATTTAAAGTGATTGAAAGTTGCTTATAGTATGGATTCAATTTTTTTTTATTCTGTCAAAAAAAAAATGAATTCATTATTTTTACTTCATCCCCTTTTCACTTTCATTTCCCATAATTTCAATTACATTATGTTTGATTGTGGGAAGAAAAAAATGTAAAAAATAGGTGGAGAAAAATAAAAGAAAAATAAGTGAGTAGAAATAGGTAAAAAAGAATAGGATAAAAAAAAAAGTTTGTTTGGTTTAAGAGAAATAAGTAAGAAATTGAAGATAAATAATAGACGTAAATATACTTTTAGTCATTCAAATTTAAGGTAAAGTTATTTTTAGTCTCTCAAATTTAAAACTAGCTTTTTTAGTCTTTATAATTTCAAAGAAATCTTGTTTAATCTTTACATTCAAATTTTGTTAGAGGATTTATCAAATATTTTGTATAAAATTTATTATTGTTGTTTTATTTATAAAAATATTATATTAAATACAGTTGATGATACATAACTACCTCAATCTATTACTTTCAAATATATTAATAATGACTTGAAGAACTAAAATATTATTTTTTAAAATTACAAAGAATAAAAATAAAAATTTTAAATTTGAAAGATCAAAAACTAATTTTCCTTTCATTTAAAGTATTAAAAATATATTTAAGTTTAAATAATTACAGAATTGTTTGGTTTAAATGGATAAAAAGTAAAGAAATTATAATGAAAGAAAAAGTTATATTTTACCCTTTCAAAATTAACTATGTAGTATCAACTAAATTTTATGTGTGTAATTGATTGAATTGAAACCTCATTCAAATATAGCAACTTGCACCGATTTTCTTATTTGATTGTAATCAAATCAAACTTTGTTGTAATTGATTACAACATATTTGGTAATCAGATGAAAATTGTTGTAATTGAATACAATCAAACCCATATTTAAATAAAAAATGATAAACATTTGAATGCAAATAATGCACGATCGAATAGAAATCAAGCACATTGGAAATACAACAAATGTCATTTGAATACACAACAAACAGATTTGACCTGTATATATTAATCAACTATCACGATCGATTAAACAAATGCTTTAATCGAATATATGATGTCCCAAAATATACATATTTGTCATTTTAGAATCCAAATCAGACCAAATACTTGAAACCCAACTCTAATTGACACCAAAAAAAACCAAATAATCATTTTAATGATAAGCAACAACAACTAAATTAGCCAAAAGCAACCAACAACAAAAACATATCTAAATTTTATTTAGGCTTAGTGTAACATACAAACAAAAATGATATGACGAAAAGTTTACCTGACAGAAGAGAAGTGTACGTAGGCAGGCCATGAGCTAGTTGGGGGTATGAGTGCGTTCAATGAGAGCTCGTCTCTAAGTAGTTTCTTTTGTAAACCATTCTTTACACTTGCTTGTCCGGCCAAATAGCTTATTTGGTAGAAAACTTATGAGATAATAGTGTTATACACATTCTCTTCTCAATTTCATTGGTATTTTCTTATATTTTTCAAAGAAATAAAAAAATATGTTGAATCCAAGTCTGTAAGATTTTCACCTGCCACAATTCAATTTTATTAAAGATATAATAATATTTTTCACCTCTTATTTTCACTCACTCTTCTCTATTTTACCAAATTCAGTGTTAATCTTATCTTCCATATGGATTCAATGTTGTTTATACTAATTTTGATCGGTTCCCTCACTTTTCCGTTCTACCATTTCATTTCTTCCGACCTTCTTCTCTCCCTCGCTTTCTCTAACTAATCAATTTCATTCTCTTGAACTTTCACAAGAATTAGTCATTTCCCCCTTCAAATGAGCTAATTAACTTGCATCAAATTACATCAACTATACAATAATAATGCAATCTTGTTTCTTTAATTTTATTAGTTTTTTTACTCGATCTAGATTAAACGCGAAAAGAGGGCAAGTCGCTTTTTATGACCAAGAAAATGAAAAGTATACGTCTCGTCGAAGAAAATATAGTAAAGTATCATGTCACATATTAATACGAGTTTAATGGTTATATATATTTTTTAAAAGTTAACACCTTATAATTTTATGATTGAATGATTTTCTAAAATTACTTTATACCACCATTTATTTTCTCTTATCGTATTATTACATTGCATAGATATACTAAATCAATAACACATTTATATTTATTTTGAAACATTTTATTATGAATTAAAAGTTATTAAAAACTTCACAAATTAATAAAGAATCATTAAATAAGAATTGGATCCCAAAAATCATCTTATGATTTATGTTTATAATGAATATTTTAAAATTTTAAAATTTAAACAAAAAAATGGTTTTGGACTACTCTTGTTTTCTTTAATCAAAGACTAAAATATCATTTTATCTCTATAAGAACCAATTTAGTAGAAGAAAAAATGTCTTCTTAATATATATATATATATATATATATATATATATATGATATTTCTTAATCGTTATGCATTAATCAAACGACAAGCTGGGATTCGGAGCGAGGGAGAGAATAATATACTATATTGTATGACATGTATGACCACATTATTAATTTATTAATTTCTTGTTTACACCTTCGTATACAAACAACAACAATCCTTTTACGATTTATCCTATGTAGTTATGTTTGAGTTGGCACAGAATGGTTGGCATCTTTCTCTGCCTTGCTCTCGTTCTCCACCGTCGCCATTTCAGCTTCTGCCACCGTCGCCGCTTCCCGGAATCTCTTGTATATGTCACTTTTGTAAAACTTCCTTGTCCTAGCCACCAAAATGAGCGAAACAATGGCACCGAAGAAAGTTGCAGCAGTGATGATAATAAAGGATAACTTGAAACAATTGACCCCAATACAATTCAATTCTTGCCCTTCCTTTCTTTTAATCCCCAATGCTGCAAGTTGCTTCTTTGCTTCTTCATCATACAAATGCCCAGTCATTTTCACATTAAGCACATATAGCCCTAGGGGACTTGCTACACTTCCAAAATTATACAAGGTTGCGTAATATTTAAGTCCAAAAAGCTCGGATATAATGGCAAAAAGTAATGGCCACTGAGCGCCAAAACAAAACCCAATTATAACCGAAGCCGCATAAAGACCGCTTGGCACATCAAATGCTATCAGAAGGTGACCAATACATGACAAGAGCAGAGTTAAAGTAAGCATAAGAGGACGAGGGAACTTGTACTTTTGTAGAAAATGTTCAGAAACAAATCCTGAGAAAACCCGTCCTAGATAATTCCAAATACTCACTAGAGACACAAAAGTGCTTATACTTTTCTTGGGGTACCTAAGCGATGTTCCTATCTGACCCAGATTATCTATTGCGGTCAACGTGCCCCCAACACCACAGATGCAAGTTATGAAAAGTATAAACATGTCAACGCTGAATAACGCTTGAAGTATTGTATAGTCCTCACCTCTTTCAGGTGGACTAAACACATTTTGCCACCACTTGATGTCATTGGAAACTGTTGAAACTGAATTTTTATTCCCATTCTCATTTGCCTTGACAATTTCAGCCTCAGTTATTATTTTAACCGGAGATGGATCAACTAAAGCAAGCCTTTTACTCTGCCAGGTCTTATATTCTTCCATGGAAACAACAACAAGTGGGAAGAAGAGCAAGAAGAGCACTATAGCAGCACTCACACCAAACTCACTCTGAGTGAAGTCGACCCTTTTCTGTACAATGATCATGACCAAAAGAAACCCAGCAAGGCCAAGAGAAATATAGAGAAAATTGTAGAAAACCTTGAGTTCATTAGGTTGCCTAACTGGCTTCATGTATCGAATGGTTAGAAGAAAAGCAAAGGAAATAGCAGCCGGGAGCCAACCTATGAACAAAATCAAAGCCTTAGTGTCATCATAGTAAATAGCAGAGTATAGCTGTGTGATGATTGCACCACTAAGACCCACATAGCCTTTGAGGATGCCTAACACAGCCCCACGACTTTCTGGGAAGTTCTTGACACAAGTGACAAGGGAACCAGTGTTGGCGAAGGATTGAGAGTTGGCACCTATGCAGATGTAGAGACACATCTGCCACACTCGGGGTTTGGCTATTCTTTTGGTCACTGATAGCCATATCATGAAGTAGCCAAAGAAGTTTAGGATGGCACCAATGGCTAGAACCACCCAGGGTGGGGTGAGCTCGTTGAGTAGGCCTGCCAGGACACCAACGTTGCTGCCAAAGTCCTTGAAGAAACTGAGGAGGTTGAGAGTGGTTTGGTCGTAACCAAGGGTGGTTTTGATTTCACTGGAATAGAGGCCAAACATGTAGGTGGCTCCTGCGGCTGCCATGATAAGAAAGGAGGCAAACACCACAAACCAACGACCGGTGATGACTTGGACGGTGAGACTCTTCATGTCTCCCCATCCACGAACACCTCCCACAACCGCCATGTTTCTGTGCCACGCTTTATTTTTGCTTGTTACTTGTTACCAAATAGCTAGCACTTGCAGATGCGTGGAAATTAAAGTCAGTAGTGTGTGTCTCAGTATATATTATATAGACATGGGGAAGCTACGTTGTCTTTTCGACATTTTTCTAAGAATTATTTTTTCAACAACCATACACAATGATATCTTTTCATATTGAATTTTCAGGTCACATGATTACGTGGAACTTTGAATCTCTCCTTATCTTCACAGAGATTAAATAAATAGAAATATTAAAATTTGTCTAAATTTAAAAAAGGGGGATTGACATCATGTTTTTACCTGATATAGTGGATTTTGATTGATCATTAAATTGAATCCGAATGAAAAGGGGTTCTTTTAATAATTCTATATAGAAATTATTTTTATAGATAAATATTACACGTAATTATAACTCTTAATTTTTGTTTATTTTCACAGAGATTAAATAATCCACTATACACGTAATTATAACTCTTAACATGATTACGTGGAACTTTGAATCTCTCCTTATCTTCACAGAGATTAAATAAATAGAAATATTAAAATTTGTCTAAATTTAAAAAGGGGGACTGACATCATGTTTTTACCTGATATAGTGGATTTTGATCGATCATTAAATTGAATCCGAATGAAAAGGGGTTCTCTTAATAATTCTATATAGAAATCATTTTTATAGATAAATATTACACGTAATTATAACTCTTAATTTTTGTTTATTTTCAAATACATATATTATTGTGAAAATTTACTTTTTAATATTTTTTATTACAAATGTCAATTTTTTTTATTACATCTTATACTATATTGTATTTTTTCAATCATATTTTTAATTTAATTTACTAGTTTTAGTTTCTTAATTTTCAACAACAATATAATGTTATCTTTTTTTTTTTCTAATTGAAAGTAACGTGATTAATTACATTTACACATGACTCAATAAAAAAAATATGTTGGTCACATGTATAAGCAAGTAATCCCTATTTTTAATTAGATTAAATGAAAACATTAAATCGTCTTGTAAAATTAATAAACAAAATTATTAAATTCAACATTTTAATAATAACAACATTGAATTAAATTAGTTAAATAAATAAATAGACTATAAAAGAGTAACTTAATATGTTATACGGAAGAAAGTGTTTCATGGACATTTCAATGCTAGTGTATACCCGAAAAGAGAAAGAAAATAATATACATAATAAGATATATAACATAATAAAAAAATAGTGAGTATTAATTAATAGAATTTTTTTTGTTATAGAACATGTTTTTTTTATTGCAGATAATCCTATATTAATTAATTAAGATATTGAGTAAAAAAAAATTAAGACATAATAATTTACAAACTTGTATTATTATCACTGTTTGAAAAAAATCCCATAAATGTCTCCCGATTTGTTCTCTAAAATAATCATAAGATGTCTTGCTTGTCGATTTTGTATTCTATTTGCCTCCCTTTGGGTATTGATTAGCAATTTAATTAGCTTTGAACATTTGTTTCTTCACGTGTTTCCATGGAACATTTTCCTCTTTTTTTTCGTTACTGTTGTTTATACTCATATTAAAAATTTATTATAGTACTGTATACAGTTAAGAAGAAAAGAGACAGATCAGACAAAGGAAAAAATAAAAGAAAGTGATAGACATGGTACAATGAAAATGAAATAAATTGAATATCAAAATATCATGGTATAAAAAAATTAAGGTTAGATTATTAAGGAGTTAATAGAGATTTGACATCATCCTGGGAAAAAATTAAGTCACCATTATTATATACTTTGATGAAAATCGAATTGGATGTATAATAATTATTATACACGAAAATAAATTAGTTCTTAATTGTTATTTATGAATTTTAAAACACTGTATAAATTATATTTAAGAAAATTATATTTAAAAGAAAAATGATTTACAAAGATTATTCTTTTATTATATAGAGTTGTTTGGAGTATTCAAAACTTTCACTTTATAATTTAAATTTTTTGTTTGGGATGTTGAAAAAAAAAATTGAAGTCTTTAAGTTAATTCCCATACAGTTTTTTTTATTTAGATTTAAAAATTCAATCAAACATCGCAAAATCTGTTTTATTAGAATTTTATTTTACTTATATAAAGTTATTATTTGCCTTTGTACAGGGTTATTTAATGAAATTAAAATAAATCACTTTTTAACAGAATTCATACATTAAATTTAATTTTTTAGACTAATTAAAATTTAAACTTTTATTAGGTAAAAAAATTAAAATTATATAATAAACTTTTTATAATTACAAAAATTAAACTTTTATAAAAAAAAATATTTATAATTAAATTATTTATGATTTTAAAGATTTCAAAAAGCATTCGGATTGTTGTATTATAAATGATGTTGCTTAGTTTTATTTGAAAAGGTAAAATCTCGACATGATTTTGCTTTTGATATATAATCTGTAAAATGTGTATTGATTCTCTAGTTTCTAAAGTCTCTGTTAGAGACAAAAATTATTCCACCTCTAAAATTAGTCGTTACTTCAAATTTCTCTAGGATAACTGAATAAATTAATTGAGTTAATGATGGAAGGAAGTAAAAGAAATGATTGTTGTCCTCTTCTATTCTTCATCTTCAAATCCAATCGTTCTCTTGAAGTCTCAATGGAGGTTTTGGACAAAGCAAAACAAGTTCCAAAATTTGTAGAAGCAACTAAGATGTGCTCAGTTTCTTCCTTGAGAAGTAGGAAGAAGGTTGAATGTTGAGATTTCTGTTGATATTAGTTTCTGTCTTTGTTGTAAATCTGTTTTATTCTATCAACGGACTCAAACATAGCAAGTATACCGGCCATTCAAGAAGTAAATTTAAATCGTATTTACAGGAACTAATAGGTAAAATAAACATTTATTGACTATTTGCGCCCAGCGTGATATTACTTGTCCTGCTCCTTTGCTTTTTTAGTTTCCAATCTAATGAGTCTTCAACTTCAACTCTTCACTCAATACTTGCACAAAAAATAAGGTGTACCAAGGTATTGTTAAATGAGTTTTGGGTTAGCTATATCTGCACAAAATTGAATAAAAAAGAGGACAATTATATTGCAAGAGTGCATGGGGTGAGTGGAATTGTTCAATAATTCCTATCTAAACATAATAACATATGTATAAATGAGACTTAACGTTGAACAAGACACAAAGGACGAACTCCTTTGTGAAAGTTTCTAGGGAGAAGTGTTCTCCACGATTTTAGAGACTCTTGGAAAGAGAGAATTTGAGAAAATTATGATTTCATATATTCCAAAAGTGATTACAAATGTTAAGAAAATGAATATATAGAAGAAGGTAGCTTGTGAAGCAAGCTAAGCTTAACCATGGTTCAAGAGAACCATGGTTGGCTTAACTTGACCATTCATATTGGTTTGGGAGGCTTGTGGAGCAAGCTTCTAACTTAGCTTGCTAAGTTAGAAGCTTGTAGCACAAGCTTCCCAAGGGTGCAAGGTATACTAGTAAATTCGGCTAAGACAAGCTTATGGAGCAAGCTAAGCTAACCATAATTCAAGAGAACCAAGGTTAACTTAGCTTGACCGTCCACCTTGGTTTGGGAGGCTTGTGGAGCAAGCTAAGTTAGAAGCTTGTAGCACAAGCTTCCCAAAGAAACCAAGTGAGCAAGCGAATCCGGCCAAGTTGGGAGTGAGCGACCATGGGCTTGATTCCATACTAAGTCCAATCCAAAAATCTTGGAATTGGTAAGTTAGGTTCACCAAATGATGGTGAGGCCTAGCTAAATCAATTCGCTGGAAAATATGGAGCAAAATAAGCTCAATATGTAAAATTTGGCCTAGGCCCAACTCTGGCCCATTTACTAGTTGCACCCTTAGACCTTGCTAATTGTCACTCCACTTCTACTATTGAAAAATGTAAAAATGAATGATCTTTAATACAATGTCAAATAGAGCAAAAGTCTCCAAGTAGACTACCCTAAATTCTTCAAGAAATGTCATATATCAAATGAAAGAAAGTGTCTTACAAATACAAATACAAAACGAACCTATACAAGAAATATTATATACAAATGGTATGAAAGGTCTTTAAAATCAACTCATTCTGCTTAGGTCCTTCAATGTATCACCTCTTGGTCTTCTTGACCTTGACATGATTCCATCAGTTAAGGTAACAAAGATAATAGTAAAAAAAAAATATTTGAATTAGTATTGCTTTTAGTTTTTGAAAAAGTTATATTTTTTTTTAAATGTTAATTCAGTTTTTATATTTTTTAATATCCTTATGTGGGAGGAAAAAAAAAAGCTGTAGAAACTAGAGTTACAGTATTAACAAAAAAATACATAAATGAAAATTATTTATTTTAAAAATTAAAGAAGAAAACTTATATTAATAAAAATTTAAAGACTACAAACTCTATATTTTAACTTGACTAAAATAATTATAGTCCAAAATAACTTTTTCTCAAGTTTTTAGTTTATTTCTTTTAGCGTGAACCAATATTATCTGGATCAATAGTGGAGACTAAATTTTTTTTTTTCAAACATAAAGATCAAGGACGGATTTTCTAAAGTTGTATCCTATACTATATTTTACCACTTATAAACTTAATGTATTTCTGATTATAAATTATAAATAATTTGAAATGTGGTTAAAAAATATTTTATATAAATATTTCTCTTTTATTTTATTATTTTAATTAAATATTATTATTATTATTTCTCTTTTTAAAAATATGAATTTTACGTATCATTTTTTTTAGAATAATTAAATATGCTCAAAATTAAATTCTTCATGTAATCATATTTAAATTGATAAAGTGTTATTATTTTCATTTTGTTAAATATTAAAAGTCCTTGATTAAAATTAAACTTGTTTTTATAATAAAGATTGTAATAATAAGAACTAAAAGTCTATTATTATTTTAATCTAAATTGTTCTTGATATCATATGATTATTGTATATGAGACATCAATAAATCCGGATATATATATATATATATATATATAAATGTTTTTATAAGATAAAGATTAATAGATCTCATTTATTATGTGTTGTTTATATATATGTCAAAATAATATATGCATGAATATGTTAATTTTTATTACATAGTATTTACGTGTTGTTTATATATATGCCAAAATAATATATA